CTCCCCGCCCGCTGTCCCCGCCCCCTGAGGCGCGGAATAAAGCAGAGCCTGTTCTACCTGCTGGTGTGCGCGAGTCTATGGGTGCGCGGGAGGGGGCGGCCACTGCGTCTAGCCAGCATCCAGCCGCCCGCAGGTACCGCCTCGCCGGGCCGGCGCCTCGCCCCACCCACACTCCCGCCCTGCGCTTTGGTCTGTTCAGTTCATTGGCTTGTGCGCACACTAGCCCGCCCCGAGGACTGGCCCACCCTGCGCGCTGGACCACCCCACACATTGGCCTAGCGGCCAGGAGGGCGGGTCCAGCAGCCGCGCACTTCCGGCCGGTGGCCGGTCGGGAGCGCACCGCCTCTTCCGCCGTCGCCCCCGCGAGCCCTTCCCCAGCTCCAGCCCCAGCCCCGGTCCCGGCCCCGGTCCCGGCCCCGGCCCCATCCTCATCCTCCCCTGCATCGCTTCGGAGCGCGGTGGCAGCTGACTGCGCGTTCACGACCCGCTGGGACCCGCGAGCCCCGCCGCCGTTATGAACATCCGCAATGCGAGGGTGAGGAGCCGGGGCGGGCGACTGTCCGCGCCGCGTGGGCGCCGGACCGGGTGGCCGCGTGCGCATGCTCCCGAGGGACCTGGCCCTGTGGCCCTGCGCGCCGGCAGCCGCGGGAACCGTGAAGCTGGACCAGCCTGCAGTGGTGGTCAGGGACGCAGGGCTTAGGGCTGTGAATCCCCTGTTTGCGTGATGTCAGGACCCGGTAGGGTGGACTCCTGGAACCTCCAGGCTCTCACTCTTTCCTGAAACTGACGCGTTTTGCACCAGCGGCTATGGACCAGGCCCTGTGCAGTCAGATATTCACAGCCTTGCCCAGCCCCGGTGGAGGGGAGGCCGAGAACACCGACAGGGAGCTGGATTCTCACCTGACGGAGGCCTACTTAGTCACCCCAGCCCTAAACTGATCGCGTCCCGCTGTCCTCCCCTGCAGCCTGAGGACCTGATGAACATGCAGCACTGCAACCTCCTCTGCCTGCCTGAGAACTACCAGATGAAATACTACTTCTACCATGGCCTCTCCTGGCCCCAGGTGGGAAGAGTTTGAATTTGGGAGTAGGACACCCTAGGCCGAGGAAATTGCAGCCCCAGTGGGCAAGGCCATAAGAGCCCCGAGGGCTTTGTGGTCGCCTGAGGTAGGGGTGTTCTCAGCTGGAGGGGGCAGGGGCAGACGAAAAGGAGGTGCCTGAAGGGAGCGTAGAAGTAGAATAGGGGCAGGGTGGGGACAGGATTCCTACCTTCTGTCTCTTCTCTTGTGGGTCAAAGACAGGACACTCTGTGGTATGGTGAAAACTGTCCGACTTGCCCCAAAGGTCAAAAGCTGTCACAGAACTCGCCACTTGAGCAACTTCCAGCTGTCAGGCACATAGCAGGACGTGGGCTGTGGGTTCTTTGGGCTCCTACATGAAGTTGTGTACTGACTTCCTTTTCCTCTCTGTCACCAGCTCTCTTACATTGCTGAGGATGAGAATGGGAAGATTGTGGGGTATGTCCTGGCCAAAATGTGAGTCACCAAGGAGGAAGAGAAGTCTAGTGCTGGGACTATGGGAGACAAACTTTGGAGGGGAAGGCCAACAGTCCCTATGTCTCATGGATGCTCATGTGTGTAGGTTTTAAAAAAGAAAATAGACTGCTCTTTAGGACAGTAAATTTAGAGAAGAATTAAGCAGATCAGTACAGATTTCCCATACGATCCCTTACTCTCCATTTCCTCTATTATTAACATGTTACATTAGGTACATTTGTTGTAAGTAAGGAACCAACAATGATACTTTGTTAACTAAGTGCCCAAAGTTTACATTCTTGCCGTTCTTTCTGTGCAGTGAGCTCCCAGCCTTATACATATGGCTAGGACTTGTTTTACTGTGCTCTGCAACGCCCCCTGCCCCCCCCCCCCACTAACCCCTGACAGCCACTGATCTTTTTACCAGCTCCACAGTTTTGCCATTTCCAGAATGTCATGTAGTTGAAATCATATAGTCTGTAGACTCTTCAGACTGAGTTTTTATCACTTAATGATATGCAGTTAAAGTTCCTTCCTGTCTTTTTTGTGGCTTGTCAGCCCTTTATTTATATATTTTTATCATGGTACAATATTGTGTTGACACTGCACATATTTGGTCAATGTGGGGTACAGGGAGCACTACTGGCTGCTCTTCCCCAGCCTGGATCTTGGAGTGCTAGAAGACCAGCCTTAAGTAGTTTGAACACCCACTGTGCACAGGTGCTTGGGGGTGGCTGTGCCTGTACCAGGCTCCTTTCTAGCTCTTTCCTTTCTCCTCTAGGGAAGAGGACCCAGATGATGTGCCTCATGGACATATCACCTCACTGGTGAGTGGGGCCCACCAAGGAAGCAGGGGGTAATTGGGGTAGCCCTTACATTAAGATCTTACTAAGATCCCTCCCCCACCCACCCTCTTCTCACCAGGCTGTGAAACGTTCCCACAGGCGCCTTGGCCTGGCTCAGAAGCTGATGGACCAGGCCTCTCGAGCCATGATAGAGAACTTCAATGCCAAATACGTCTCCCTGCATGTCAGGAAGAGGTGGAAGCTAAGCTGAGGGATGGGGGGAGGGGGAAGAAGAGACGACATTTTGATGCAGGTTCTAGGGTGCTCAGCCTTTTGGAGGAAATCTGGGAAGTAGGATCAGTGGGAAGGGGGAACCAGGGGGAGGGGTAGGACCTGGACATGGCCTACCTGGCCAAGTTCAGCAGTGCCTTATTCCCCTGCAGTAACCGGGCCGCCCTGCACCTCTATTCCAACACCCTCAACTTTCAGTAAGTAGATCTAGATTTTTCTAAGGGACTGGGGCTGGTCCCAGGTCTGGTCCATCCAGTTGGTTGAAGTGGGCTGAGCTGCCTTTCAGGCACAATGTGGGAGGGACCAAGAGGGGGAGGCAGGCAGCTGTGGACTCCAGACATTGCTAGGAGTCCTTCTCCATACTCTGTGCTGCTGACATGGAGACAGCACCTGCCTGTCCATATCTGTTCACTGCATGTTGTGATGGCGGTGGGGGCGGTGATCTGGCATGTCTTGCTGATGGAGGAGGGATAGCTTGCTACTGGCCAAGGTTGGTGAAGGTCACTGTGGCAAAGAACATGTGAGGCTTCTTTGTTCAAGTTTGGGAGTAGATAGATATGGTCCCCAGGTGTGAACAGAGATGAAGAAGCAGGACTCCAAGTGACTAGGAACCATCTTTGAGAGGAGAAGGAAGGATGACACAGGAAGGAAGGGCCACCAGCTAGAGCACCAAGAGACCTAGAACTGTGAGCATCCTGGTGGATGAGGGCAAGTTGGCTCAGGATGTGGGAATCTTCATGTGCCCAACATGGGCAAGAGAACCTGGACGTGTTCAGTAGACAGTGGCAGAAAGTACTTGAAAGTCAGACTGGGGTCAGGCCAATGAGTGCAGCTTTCTTTCCAGTGGCAGGGCCACCAGAGTGTGCATACACACCTCCCAATGTAGGCACTCCCCCTAAGCTGCTTGGGCAGGGGCCACAATGTGTGGGAAGAGTACTCACAGAGGCCACAGCACCCCTCGCCCCCAGTTCCCATTGTTCTTGCTAGGCAGAGGAATTGGCTATGTGCTTGGTAAGTGACAGGGAGCAGAGCAGGTAGGGAAGGACAGGGCTAACCCAGGTTTAACCTCACGAGGAACCACAGACAGACCTTGGTAGCTGGACTGGGCTCGGCAGTGGCAGGACTGTAGTGAATGATGTCAATGCAGTGGGTGCTGCCTGCTGCTGGGCAAGAGTTCCTTTCTGCTGGGATTTCTGCCTCCAAAAGGATTCTTCAGGGGGAAATGACACGTATCCATTAGCCTATGATACCAGGAGACCAAGATAATTTGCCCCCAGGTTTGGGTTTTCTTACTATCTCCAGGATCAGCGAAGTGGAGCCCAAATACTATGCAGATGGGGAAGATGCATATGCGATGAAGCGGGACCTCACCCAGATGGCTGATGAGGTAAGAGTCCACCTTGGCCACCGCAGCAGTCCTGGAGGTGAAGGGGGGTGGGTCCTGCTGGGGGAAGGTGGCTTATCAGGACGCCTGAGACAGAGGAGGCTGGAAGCCGGACCAACTTTTGTTGCCAGTCCTTGCAGCTGTAGTGCTGGGGGTTGGAGCCCCTCTTTTACCTTCATTTCCTAAGTGGTCAAGTGGGGACCTTGGCCTTGGCTGGCTCTAGAAGAGGCCATCCATCCAAGATTCGGTTTTCTGGGAAACAAGCCTGTAGGAGGGATATGAAGTGCAGAGGGAGACTTTCCAGAGGGGGAATGGGATGACCAGGGAATACCTGTGACTTGCCTGCTCAGAGGTAAAACCAAACTGGGCTGTGGAGAAAGTTGGGGTCCTGGCCATGCCTCCTTAGAGGACAGGGCTCTTCAAAGGGCACTGTTATCTTGGGGGTTTCCCAGTGGCTGGTTTGAGGGAGGCACAGTCACTCTCATTTTATGGGTGAGAAAACAGGCCTAGAGAAGGGCAGAGTCAGAACTCAAGCAAGGTCTTCCCCACCGGTTGGGCTTCCTGCTCTGGCCCTGCTCTGGCCTCTCATTATGCCCCTCCCATAGTGACTGAACCTGGCTTCCCTTGCCCTGTTGACTACAGTCTTATGTCTTTTCTCTTTCTACATGCTTCTCCCTGGGCTCCTGGTGGCAGCTGAGGCGACATCTGGAGCTGAAAGAAAAGGGCAGGCATGTGGTCCTGGGTGCCATTGAGAACAAGGTGGAGAGCAAAGGCAATTCGCTTCCAAGCTCAGGAGAGGTCTGTCGTGAGGAGAAAGGCCTGGCTGCTGAGGATAGTGGCGGGGACAGCAAAGACCTCAGCGAGGTCAGCGAGACCACAGAGAGCACGGATGTCAAGGACAGCTCAGAGGCCTCTGACTCGGCCTCCTAGAGCCTGCCCTAGCCCATCCTCCACCCATAGGTTTTCACAATAAACCTCAGCCCGTGGTCCTTGGGGATTTATTTCTTGAGTGTGGCATACTTCACGAGTTTGCGTGTCATCCTTGCACAGGCCAATGCTAATACTCTATTGTTTCAGTTTGTGTATATGCTGCTGAAGCCTTGGGAAGCGTGTGTGTGTGTGTGTGTGTGTGTGTGTGTGTGTGTGGTGTGTTTTGCAGAGTTTGGTGGGGGGTGCCTCTCCAGCTTCTGCCCAGGGGATAAAAACTTTACAACCTTTGGACCTAGAGCAACCTGCCAAGCCCAAGTAAAAGGGAAGGGTTTCTTCAGGGGTGTGGAGATGGGACTCCCAAGATCCATGGCTTTCAGCAGCTTTGGGTCAGGGGAGGAGGATCCCCAGTGAGGAAGCAGACACTCTGCCTTTGGAGCCCTGCTCTGCTGCTGCCTTGCTAGGCCTCTGTGTCCTCATTAACATTCCAGGGCTGAGGTAGATGATCTGTCAAGGCCTTTCTTGTTTTCCCACATTCAATGTTTGGAGGGACAAGCCTAGGCTAGCCAACCTTAAGCTTCAAAGGCATCTCCCCCTCATTCTTAGTATGCAGTACTACTTCTGCCACCCCTTTCTCGAGTCACATTTCCTTCCAGCTACTGCAGCTCAGCTCCAATTCATACCTGGTAGATGCCAGTTGCCTGTGTCCAACTGATCATTGGGCTTATCTACACCTATCCTATCTGAGTCATGTCCCAACCTGCCATCCAGTTGTTTCAAGCCTTGTCAACTATTTCAATTACTTCTTCCCCTGCCATGTGAAAGTATAGCAAGCCCTGTGTATTCAACCACCATGATACCTCTTGAATCTACTCCCTAACATGAGCTTACATTTGCAAACAATTAAGAGACCTCAGTATAGTTTTTTTTTTGGGGGGGGTTATTGGAGATTGAATTTAGGGGTGCTTAACATCCTCAGCAAATTTAAAAAAATATATTTTATTAGAGGGGCTGGGGATATAGTTCAGTTGGTAGAGTGCTTGCCTCACATACACAAGGCCCTGGGTTCAATCCCCAGTACCCCCCCCCCCAAAAAAAAAATTAATTTTATTAGAGATAGCGTCAAGTTCCTAAGGCTGGCTTTGAACTCTGGATCTTCCTGCCCAGCCTCCTGAGCTGGAGCTGCTGGGATCACAGACGTGTGCCACTGTAGTTTTTTACAGAAAAACTGATCAGATAGTACCTATCCCCTTTCCCCCTGTTTCCCTATTAACATTTTCTAGTAGGTGGCATATTTGTTACAAGTCATGAGCCAATTCATGGCCTCACTCTAACCTTAATTTTAGCTCCCGCATCTTTCCTCCCTGCCCCTCCTGGCTGCAACGCCAGCGTTTGATGCTCCTAGTCTCTGAGCCGGCTCTGCCTGGGCCACCAGCATCCCAGCGGAGCTCCGCACTCCTGAGCTGTCACTATGCTTAATGGTCCCGCTATTGCGGGTGGCACGCTGCTTCCCCGTCAGGTTGAATAATTCACCACCCAAACCAGAACTTCCTCTTTGGCTAGCGCCTGGCGCGTGACCAACTGCAGAAACCGTGACTGGAGCGCAGCTGGGCAGGGCCTAGGCAGGAAGGGCGCCTGCGCGCGGCCGCCTCTCCCTAGCTCGCTGGCTCGGGTGAGGCTGCGTTAATTGGCTGAAGTTTCAAGGCTTCTCTTTGTATGGGTCGAAGTGGCGCCTGGTCCCGCCCACCGTGCCTGAGTCAGTCTCTTCGCAAGCAGGCGGTGGGCTAAGTTCCCAGGCTCTGATTGGTCGGGCGGCGCCGGCCCAATTACGAACTAGAGGGCGAGCATGCGCGTTGTCTCGGCCGCGCCCCAGCGCTAGAGAGAGGGAGCTGCTAGTAGCTCCTACGGCGCCGTGCGGAACTCTACTTTCACTATGCCTTAGACCTTGGTGCTCTGCGTCTCTAGCGGCCCAGAGGCGCGCGGCCGCCCCCTCCGCCCCCAGGCGGTTAGGTTTCCTGGGCGGAGGTGGGACTTGCAGAGCGGGGGAGAAAAAGAGAGGACGGAAACCACAGACCCGCTTGGCCCTAGAGGCCCGGTACTTCTCCTGCCTCTGCAGTATCTGCCTCCTGGGAGCGGCCGCTTCTAAGCCGATGAGTAGAGGCTGGAAGACAGGGTGGGAAAGCAGGTCCCCCGCCTCCTCACTGTGTGGCTGGGGGTGGACTCCAGGGAAGCTTCTCCAGGAGATGAACCCATACACATTCAAGATGCACAACCTTGACCTCTGAATCCCCATTATTAAACTTTTGGAAAACAGACACAGAGGAATGGGAAGCGGCGGCTCATTGCCTAATTCATGCTCTTATTTCCATGTGGATATATGGTGACAATTTCACCATTGGTTTAATCTCCCTCTGGTCCACCTTCACATCTTACCTAACTACATCAGCTCTGCGATCACCCCTCACTACCAAATGTATATGCAACGGGCTTAGAAAGGTCCTGCAGTCCTGGCCCTCACCTTATGTGATATAATTTGGCTTTTGGATTCTTTGTAGAGGAACAGTACAGTTAAAGATAGAGCCATCAATAGGGTGCAGTTTCATTCAGGGCTTTAAATGCCAAACAAGTGTCTTAAAAGCCAGGACTCAAGGGGTTGCCTGGTTGGTTTTTGCTTTCAACTCAAGGATTCAAAGCAGGGGCTGAAGCCAGGAGTGGTAATGCCCCTCTGTAATCCCAAGAACTCAGGAGGTTGAAACAGGAGGATTGCAAGGTCGGGGTCAGTCTGAAATAATTTTCTTGTGTAAATATGTAAATATATCATAGTCAATCCCACCATCCATCATGTACATCCATAAGAATGGGGTCCTAACTAGAATAAGATATATGCTATGTTTGTATAATTATATCAAAATGGATTCTACTGTCATGTATAACTAAAAAGAATTTTTAAAAAGTTGGAGACCAGCCTCAGCAACTTAGCAAGATCCTGTCTCAAAATTAAAAGAAATAATAATAAAAAGGGCTGGGGTTGTACCTCGGTGGTAAAGCGTCCCTGGGTTCAATCTCCAATGAAAGAGAGACAAAGAAGGGGAGAGGAAGCAGGGACTGAAAGGGGCACCAATGTGGTATTTCTGGAGTCCGAAAAGGACTAAGGAGAGCATTTGAAAGCAAGGGCTGAGGCCACTTTAGCAGCCAAGTGGTTGAGTTCTGTGCCTGGCTCTGCTGAATGGATGAGGGACCTTTAGGGACCAATCAGGGCCCAGAGGCATAGAAACCAGGCAGGATGTGTTGGGTAGCTAATGAGGGGAATGGGTGCCTGGTTCCTTCAGCATGAGGCAATGGTGGGGTGTGTGGGTCTCTCCTAACACAGGAGCAGGTTCAGGTGTGCATGTGCATGTGTGTGTGTATGGTGAGAAGGGATTCAAGCTCACCAGCTTTGCTGGAGGACTCCAACATTCACACTTAAAGAGACCAGCTGGGGCTGGAGTTGTAGCTTAGTGGTAGAGCACTTGCCTAGCATGTGTGAGGCACTGGGTTAGATCCTCAGCACCACATAAACATAAATAAATAAATAAATAAATAAAGGTCCTGTCAACAACTAAAAACAAACAAACAAACAACAACAACAAAAGAAACCAGCTACTAGAAGTTCAGGTCCTGGACCTACCAGAGTCTGGCTAGCTCCCATGTCTTTCTTCAAGGTCCTGTGGGCACATGGCAGCATCTTAGAGAAAGGCTTTGGTACTAGGGGTGTGTGTGTTGGGGGGACACAGCTGAGGGGATGTATTTTTTCCCCTCTGGGCAAGAGAATTTATTGCTTAAAGCTGAAAGACAGTACCTGAATGGCCTCTCCTTCCCTCAGATCTGCAGGTCAAGGTTATATGTATCCACAAGTACATTTTTTCCCCTAGTACTGGGAGTGAATCCAGGGCCTTGTGCAAGAGAAGCACTCTACCACTGAGCTATACCCCCAGTCATCTTTTTTAGAAAATGTGAGGCAGGGTCTTGCTTGTCTAGACTGGGCTCGAACTTGCAGTCCTTTTTGCCTCAGCTTCCTCAATAGCTGAGATTGCAGATGTATCACTGTACCAGACCCATACCTGCATTTTGACATCCATGAACATATGTCTGGACCCCTTGCTCTAATGCCTGCAGGCCTTCCTGTCTGGAGACAATCACTGCCTAACTGCTTTGCCTCTCTCCCATGGCCTATACCCCAGGGATTTATCTCCCACTAAAGAGAGATGGTAGTCTAGTCTGGCTTTTCACCACCTGCCACCTGCCTTCCCAATTTACTGGAGAAAAGCTGCTGCCCTATGGCACAGAGTTGTTACAGAGGAATGGAGGGAAACCCCATCATCCCTGGATGACGGAGGCCCCAGGACTTGTCTCTAGGCTGGCTAAAACCTAGCTCTGAGGGGGTTACCCGCCAGGCCTTGGTCAGGGCAGGTGCAAGCTGCTGGGGAAAGGAGGCAGGAGAGTGTCTTCCGGCAGCAGGAAGTGGTAACCACCTATGGGGAAATGAGGGTTGTTCCTCCCTATGGGGTTGAGCAGAAGGGGAACCATAATTGAACCCTGCTCCCTCCCCCAGCAAGGGACCTGCCTGGAGGGAAGGAAGGCCTAAGGCTGGCTGCAGAACTTCCCACTCCAGTTTTCCAAGCTCCTTAAGCCTCTCTCTGGGTTGGGACTTAGAAGGGGAAGGACTTCAAGGGATGTCCAGGGAGGCTGGGGGAACAGGCAACTCAGGGGGAGACCCAGCCCAGAGCAGCTATGGTGTACTGTCCACTGCTGTTGAGGGCCAGTGGCGACCAAAGACTGCCTTTGGGGGGCGGGGACGGCAGGGGGTGCCAGTTTGCTTGGCATCTGGTAGCTGCTTGGCGGCGGCGGGGCGCGAGCTCAGAGGGAGGGAGCCCCCGGCGCAAAGTCCGGCCAGGAGCGCCCCGCCCCGCCCCGCCGGGGACCGCGCAGGGGGCGGGGCGGGGCGGGGCTGGCGCAGGGTGCTGGCGGTGGCGCCCCAGGTCCCAGCGCCCGGCCGCTTGCCGCCGCGTGGGAGCAGCGGGCTCGACGGCGCGGCCGCCCAGCCGCCATGGCGGCGCACGGGAAGCTTCGGCGGGAGCGGGGGCTGCAGGCCGAGTACGAGGCGCAAGTGAAAGGTGAGAGGGGCGGAGACCCCCCAGTTCGT